CAACAAATCACGAGATGTGAAATGTCTCTCGCCCTGTTGAATACTGGGTTTGTCTGCGCGTGGCTTCGGGAAAATCATTAGTCACCAAAAGCAAAGGGTATGTACACATGCATTTTCATGAGTCCTCCCAGCCTCAAACACAAACGTGTTTGAAACTTGATTTTCATGAGTCCTCCCAGCCTCAAACACAAACGTTTAACACCAAGAGTGAAACTTTAAACTGAGGCCAGTGATAGATAAACCTTGAAGTCGCAACATGTCACTGTGTTATCAGGGACTGCATTGTGACCAAGCCTAAAACGAATGTCAAGTTTTCGTAGATTAGGATGGTTAAATTGTATAAACTCATACAAGGAAAGACGTGTGTTGCTTGATTAAATGATATTACACATCACTGAAAATGTAATCATGCAAAGGAATTTAAACGTGGAAAATGTGCGTATGACTGTAGAGTATTAGCCACACCGAATTTCACAAACAATAAACTCCAACATAGCCATGAACATCTAGATGCCAATTCCTGCACCCTACTCAAATTCCTGGAACGTTGCATCATCCGCATCAGCTGTGCTGCCTGCTCCGTTAATCAGCCCACGGAGCATTTACATCAAGTTATATAATACTGTTGGAATAATATCGCTTTTTCCCGATCAAAAAATACACAGTTTTTGAGTGAAAAAAGGGGCATCCCGGTGAGATAATCCCTTTAATTACCGTATTTTCCGCACTAAAAGGTGCTTCGGCGTATAAGGCGCACTTTCAACGAATGGCATATTTTAGAACTGTTTTCATATATAAGGCGCATAGAATAGAAGCTGCAATAGTGACTGCTGTTGCCTCATGCATCCACTAGATGGAGCTACGCTCAAGGGAATATAATACAATACAATACAACCTTATTGATATTGCGCTTTCACAACCGCTGCAGCTGCAACAAAGCGCTTTACACAACATTTAAAATACTACGTCCAAGAAATCAGAATAGTGATCCATATATAAAGCGCATTGGATTATAAACCGCAGTGTCGACTTTTGAGAAAATTGAATACTTTTAGGTGTGCCTTTTATTGCTGAAAATAGGGTAATATGTATTCATTAATTTCTTTGTTATTCATATATGCATTACATAATTGGTTCATTGATTTATTGTAAATAATTTTTCAGAATGCTAAGTAAACAATTTGACATACATTCAACACTTTTTAAAATTTAAAGCGTATAATTTAATTTAATTATAATTCAAATAATTCAAAATGCAAATTCATGTTTTACTCTTAAAATGAACAGTATTACTTACACTAAATGCACAGTTACCCTAGACCTCACCTACAAAGTATGAATGACCTGGCCCATCTATCAGATTTAAGAATCAAATGCGGCCTTCGAGCACCACATTTTGCCCACCCTTGATGAATGGCCGTGTTACAGGTGTGAGGTGCAAAAGCTGCGCGTACTGCAATGCCAACCTGAAGACGTCAGGGATAAACTAAGATTCCTCCAAGAACGCCTAATCCACCCATATGTTGTTAATCTGTGGCGTCGGGCCTCAGGAGACATTTGCCGTGTGCGCCTGGAAGGATTACAGGTAACAGGTCGGCTCCGCTTGTGTGCACACAGGTCTAGACGGTGCTCCACTTGGCTGGGAATAGCGTTAACCAAGCTAAACTGTTCCACAATTAGCTTTGCCAAAGAGGTTATGTTGTTTGTCATCTATTTGTTTGTGCCCTACTGAGTCTACGAAGTCTTTTCATATGTTAGGCGGCAGATATCCTTTCAAGGGGATCCCCTCGAATTATTGGAAAGACTCTCGTCATCGATGATGCCAAATACAAGTAATATTGAATGCGTTTCAGACGTATACCACCTTAAAAAAAAGGCACAATTAATCAGGTAATGGCTAATTTATGCATACGATTTTGACCTGCTTGCATCAATTTGATTCACTTCAGGGAAATTTACAGTAAATCATTGATTTATATATATATATATATATATATATATATATATAAATATATATATATATAATGAATCAACTCTCTCTTGTCTGACAAGTGCAGTAATTATGTGGTCACGGTCTCAATACAGACATTCATTTAAAACATGTCACAGATGTGCCTGTGCCCGCCTCTTATTTTCAAATATTAACTGTTACACAAGTGTAAAAGAAAAAGCATACTGTAAAACTATATATATATATATATAAATATATATATATATAATGAATCAACTCTCTCTTGTCTGACAAGTGCAGTAATTAGGTGGTCACGGTCTCAATACAGACATTCATTTAAAACATGTCACAGATGTGCCTGTGCCCGCCTCTTATTTTCAAATATTAACTGTTACACAAGTGTAAAAGAAAAAGCATACTGTAAAACGTTTAAACACTCACTGTCACACTTAGTTCACAACTGACGAAAAGCATACAGTAGCATTTTTGGATCTAGCTAGCATTTTTGTATGTAGCTAGCCAGACAGCGGCTAACCAGGAGTACACATTTTTGAAAGCCTATTTGGACACCCCATGTTGCGTTCAAAATCTTCTCCCAAGTGCCAGTGCCAATGGCAGCAGACAACATTAATGTGTTAATTGAGACACATTCAAATCCCTCATCCGATGACTCAAGTCCATTTTGCACTGTGCTGATGAATTCCATGCATGTCTGTTGGGTGGGATCCTACTGTCACCATCACATGATAGAGCACAAGTCAGGGCCTTGAAACGTGGTCTCATAATATCGCGGACACCTGCATTACTGGGGGTTTGGCATTCGCAATTTTTTTTTCGGGGAACCTATCCTCAGGTATTCAAGAAAAAACACTTGCCTTTTTTTCGATTTTCTGTAACCTGGCAAATTACGTTTGAGAATGTTTATTTTCCAACCGAAATATGTCTTCACTATGGATGACATGTATTGTATTGGACAGTTTCTTGAATTGGGTATGAAAAAAACAAAAAAACATCAAACTTAATGTGAGCCTGAAACAGACCAACAAAAACATCGAACTAGTTGTCCGCTCAGCCAAATTTCTGCAGCGAAAGGCAAAAAGTTGTTTTCAGTCGACTGAATTTTCGTCTCCACACATGCTTACTTGCTCATCAAATCAGATGAGCACAATTTGATGTTATGTATTCTGTTGTATTATGTTTGGCATTTTATGTTAAATGTTGTGTAAAGCGCCTTGTAGCTGCAGCTGTTGCAAAAGTGCTATACAAATAAAGATATATTGTAAATGTCAAAAAAAAAAAAACAACAACCTACGAACTGCTTTACGTTTTGAACGATGAAATTAGTTCAAAATGTTTTTGATATGAACTATGAACTGAACTAGACCATTAAAAAAAACTGCGAACTGAACTTCAAACCAGGTTGCGTTAGAAAATTAACCATCACAATTTCTCACAGTAAAATAAATACCGTAAAGCAGTGTTTTTCAAACCTTGTGCGTTTGTCAGGTGTGCCGCGGGAAAATATCCAATTTGTATGCCTGTGCGGTCCATCGCCCAGAAAATAATCATGTAGTACCCTCCAATACCGCTAGAGAGCAGCAACAGCTCGCCAATTGCCTTGTGTTTCGACCACTAGAGACAAGCGAATTTGTGCCGCATGAATGCAGGACGACAGTGAAACAATAAATATGAACGATTATAATATACTTTTTTCTTCGTGTTCATTTGATTCCAATTCAAGCTGCTATAACGTCATTCTTCAATGTTAAAAATGGTTATAGGAACAATATAACACGTTCGTTGTAAAAATAAGTTATTATTTTTTTCACACTTTCAGCTAGTGGTGTGCCGCGAGATTTTTCCAATGAAATAAGTGTGCCTTGGCCCAAAAAAGTTTGAAAAACACTGCCGTAAAGCACTGTGAATTTCAACAATCATGCTAAGCGGAGCAACATCCCACTTGATTCTGATGTAATTAACAAAGGCCTTTGTTCCGAGTCGTGGTCAGAAGAAATCTTATTAGCGACAGGCAGCATCCCCTCGGTGACGAGGCGCTGGGAAAAAGTAGGTTAGGCGGTCACACATTTGCTTTCATTACGCCTCGGAGGCGTACAGGGCTACACCACCACCACCACCAACAGACCACTGTTGGGGGCAATGTGAGGTGGTGGCCAAGGGTTGCGGCCATGGCCACCCCTTGTCACTCTCTGTCCACCCCCCCACCGGGCCAGCACCCATTTCGAGGCGAAGATTTTGATACCTCGGGCTTTTCTGAGTATTCTTCCATAACCTTGATACTCTGCCACAATTCATTTAGAGTGAGCGTATATTTCAAGAGAAATTGATCCGAATGCAAATGAAAAAAAAAAACATCTTTTGATTCTTACAGTCAATATAAACTAAAACCTATTTTAACAAAATGTTTGATGAAATAAAATGCACACACGTACCAACGTAACCTTGCACTCATAATACAAGCAGGAACAAATGATAGTAAAAAGCAATGTTTAAAGTTGTGAAGCATTAAGAGTGTTTAGTGTTACTGTGCTTTTTTAGATATGATGAGCAGTGGTCAGCACGTCAATCTCTAAATCACCATGCAGTTACTATTTCAGGCTGGCCCAGTCTGTCTGATTTGTCGGTGAGACAACCGGCGTCAAAAATGTACTTAACGGTACAAAGTCACAGGCAGGTGTCGCACAAGCAGCTACACAAGTTGTCGTCGACGGGTCATCATGCACCAAAACATAGTTGGCGACGGGAGGCGAATGTGAATGCTGAAATTTACTCTCCAGTAAATTAAGCTCAGCAGAACATTGGGTTTTACTTAAAACTTGTTCCTGTTTGATTAAAACTGTGATGGCCATAGTTCTGGTTATGTGTGAATTTTACTTAATGAAAACGTGACTGTGGACGGTGTGGAAAAAAAAAAATGATGCACACATGCACGCACACACAGCCACCCCTGACCACCCTTCAATGAGTTATTGTGCCACCCTGACTACGCCCCTGGTGAGTGCAACAATACATGATGTGTAACTGCACTTACCCAATTGTCCCTCGCTGATGGTGAGGACGATCTGATCCATGAGAAGAGAACGGAATTCCACATCCTCCTCGGCGCAGCGCTCCTTCAATGCCCGGAGGATCTGAATTTGGGGATACTCCTGGCTGATACGTCGGTCGGTCACGAACCAAAGGCGGGAGCACATTACGGAAGGCTCGTGGTCCCCCCTCCCTCCCCAAATAAAAGTGAGTCCAAAAGAGTTGTAGCTGCTGTGAGGGGAGGAAGGGAGGGGGGGGAAGGGACACCGGGGGTTGGGCGGCTGTGAAAAATAGCACCGGGATGCTCACACAATGGAGCTCTGGCGCGGCTCGCCACGACCAACCAGCTAGGATGAAGACTCTTTATCACCTTTGTTTCCTTTCATTAGCGGCCATTCAGCAACGTCAAGACCGCAAATAATGTCCGCCCAAACTTGTCTTTTTAACCGATCTATGGCCTTGTGGCACGGAACAAGCTCGCCACACGGTGTCTCCGGAACGTCAGCCGAGCGATGAACTTGCCCCGAAAACGAATCGCACATTCGTCGGCTGGCCTCCGCGGTGCTCCGTGGGCGGCTATCCACGCAGTACTGGTGCTGAAAAGTGCACGCCGCCTTATTGTAGCGTAGACAAGTCGGACGCGATATGTATACAACTCAGCTCCTCCTCGTGCACAGCCAGGGCTGGTCTCAAAATAAAAATGATGGGGATGCTGTCAACCAATCACAAGCCGCAGCCAGCGTCCTTGTTTAACGGTGCGCGAAGAATAGTGGGCGTGGTGATTCCATAAGAGCCAATGGGATGCCTTTTCGTCACAAGAAGGCCGAGCCTGGTTGAGGGCGCGCAGCGTTAAGGCGTCACTCAGTGCGAGAAGGCTCCAGTGCGCGCTCCTCCTCCAGAACCGGTTCAGACCAGACTTTGCGGCCAGGCTAGGATCTGGTGAAAGAATCGACTATACTTCCGCCGCTGCAGGCCAGAAATCAAAATACCGTCATCGTAATGCGCACTGCCGTTGTATTACATGTTCAAGCCTCTAACTTCCTGTCATATTATATTACGTAAGCGTCTGCATGCGAACATCCGTGGAAGGCAACACATTGGCGTTCAAGTTGGAATTTGCTATCCTCGACTGTGAACGCCCAAAACACATTCGCTCCGGAAATTTGGAAAGGTCAAAGCGTCCAAAACGGGATCGTGCTGGTCAAATCGCAACCGTGGAGGAGGCGGGGGAGATGCCAAGGCGTGCACATTCCTTCCTTCCACAAAATAAATAGTAAAATGCTGCAGGTGCAGCATCACTTCAGCTTTGTTGTCTCAATAAAACATGTTTTGAATGGATCAATGGATTTTATTTTTTTAAATAAATAAATATAAAACCAATATCAACAAAACATAGGGGTAGGAAGAATACAAACTTGTTCAATGCTCCAATCACACTGTAACTATATTTGAAAATGAAAAAAAGAATGATGACTTACTTTATTTTTAGGACGATGAATTTCGTTCATTTTTTATATGAAGACGTATTATACTAAATTTCATTGTGATTTTACATAAACTGAGACTACACATACCTTCTGATCTCGTCCAGCATAAACAAAAATATGAATTGATATATATGTTCACTATTTTCATGTTCATATCAACTTTATTGTCAAATGTGCTACATGTGCAACATACAGCACAGATGAAATTTCTTTCCTCAGGAGAGAGAGGAGCCGCTGCGGGTGCCCGCACCGCCATCAAAAGAACGGCTCACATAAATATAATATATATGACAAATATAACATTTCACCAGTGGATCGAAGACATCATGCTGAAAATGTGCACACGTCCGCTACAAGCTAAGTTTGAAAGCAAACAAGATTTAATTTTTATTTACATCTCAGTTCCAGTTACACATTTCCCTGTCTCTATACCTGTTCAGAAATTACTCCTTATACTTCTTTTGAAACAGATTTGGGTTTGCACATCGTTTTATGTCCATCTCCTAACTTGTTCCACAAAGTCACCCCTCAGCAAGATAGGAATGTGCTTTTCATTGTTGCTCGAACTTTTTGTTTCTTGAAATATAAACCGCCCTTAAATTATACCCTCCCTCTCTGTCTCTGAGCATTTTATTGTGCAATTGACTGTTTCTTGCTTTGAACATTACTTGCGCTGTTTTGAAATTAACCAGATCCGTAAATTTCAACAAATGACTGTATAAACAGCGCGTATGTGTGCTCTCTGTATCCTGTCCTTTTTGTTGTTTAGGAGATTAAGTGCACCACAGCGATGCAAAATTAAAAAAGCATACTGATTATATGTATTCCTATGGCGTACATCAAACGTTACATTTCAATGAGCCTCCGAGATTTATGAGCCCCTGCAACCACGTACAGTATGTTGCAACAGTTTTGTTTCAGACTACAGCGTCCTCTGATGGTCATTTTACAATTCACAAAAGTGGAATGCGACGGTGCCGTGAAAAAATGTTTGCCCGCCCCCCGTCTCAAAGTTTCTCATCGTTTTCCTATACTTTAAGATCATAAAACAAATGTAAATATGAGACAAAGATAACCCAAGCCCTCTTTTCCTTCCAGAATTGCTTTAATTCCGGAACACTGGAGAATTTTCGAGCATGAATGGCTTTTTGTTGGTCAAACTGCAGCTTTTAAATTGGATTCAAGTCCGAACTTCGACTTTGACCACTCCAACCCATGATTTTTTTTTTCGTTGAGGCAGCCAGAAGTTGACTTGCTCATGTCTTTTCATGAACTGATGACTGAACATTCTCCTGCAGAATTTTCTGGTGTAGAGCATAATTTACTGTCACAACCTTTACAGGAAGTCATCCAAGTCCTGAGGTAGCAAAGTAGCTGCAGACCATTATACAAACCCAAATCCAGTGAAGTCGGCATGTTGTATAAAACAAAAATAAAAACGGAAGAAAGTAGGATGCATGCATAAAAAGCAACTCTGAGAGAAGAAAGGGGTCTGACGGAAAAAAAAGAAAAGAAGGAAGGAGGCCAAGAAAGAAAAGATGGCAGCAAAAAGAAAAAAAAAGCAATATATACAATATGTCCCCACGAATACTGTAGTAGAGGTTTCTGAAATAGCCATTGCAAGTGTCCCTATGATCCAGAAGAGGGCAATACAGAGTTGTTTAAAAAGAAAAAGAACTCAGAGCCACACTGCTCTGAGAACTGGCGCTCAGGACTCTTCTGTACTAAAACAGAAGATTACCACTAACCCAGCCGCTCAAGGGCAAGGCAGCCACCCTCAATGCTAGTCCCAAGCCGAGATAAACATGAAAGGCAACAGTCCATAAAGCCTAAACAATTACAAAACTTTCTTGAAAAAGCCAACCCAGAACAAGGAAAAGCTGGAAAGAAGGAAAATAATGTAAACTGTGTATGAACAGTTTAAGATTACTTCAGATACATGAAACAGTGTCATTACTTTGCACTTTGAATCATTACATTACGTCATGGTCAAGGATAAGCAGATGTAACACTGAAATCTAACATACGTTAAAATAATACAAAGTGGAAAAAAAATCCTTGAAATTGTTTCTTGATGACTGCAGCATTTATTTTGGTCTTGGCCTTTCGCGACTCTGCATTTGACATGAGTTTAGCATTTCACATTCGCTTCTCCACCTTCTCATGTTCTCTTTTTTAACTCCGTGTGTTGCGTACTTAGCGACTCCTTGTACACTTCTCCTCAACTAATATAATATATTGTAAGAATAATTTTGAAACACTGACAGAATAAGTGCGGACAGAAGCAATTTTCGTCCACACCTCGGGTTGCCCCAAACCTGAAAAGCAAAGACAAGGGGCGGCTTGGGGTTGAGGACTGGGAGGAGGTACAGTATAAAACTTTCTTTGTGTGTGTGTGTGTGTGTGTGTGTGTGTGTGTGTGTGTGTGTGTGTGTGTGTGTGTGTAAAGTGGTTCTAACAATCGTGTTCTGTTACCTTTGAAAGTATTTTTTTAATGACGGTCCAAAAATAGCCGTGATGAAATGTAATTTAGTAATAAAGGAAGCACATGAAAAAAATAACACTGACGGAGTGACGGACTGATGGACTGGGCGACCTGAAATAATCACGGACTGATGATGACAGACTTCCGGATTTGCCGCTGGCGAAAGACAGAAGTTCACAGATCCGCCAGCCTCTACCTGAAAAAAACCAAACACCCTGAACTGGTCACCAGCCAGTTGAAGGGCACAGTTAGTGAAAAAAACGGTTCACACTATACAAACATTAACACTTACAAACAATTTTTGGTCTTGAATTAGCCATGCCTTTTTTCAACTCTGGGGTGGTGGGGAGGGGTGAAACTGGAGTACCATCGGAGAATGTTATTATTATCATTATTATTATTATTATTATTATTATTATTATTATTATTATTATCATTATTATTATTACAAATGTGTGAATCACTTCAGGAATATGAGGGACTAGATACTTTGATGTGCTATCATCTTTCCGACGGCGGTGTATGAATTCCTCCGATC